CATGTCTTTATAATAATATTATTTACTATTATAATATGATTCTGTCTGTTTATATGGATGTACATTATGATTTTCTACCTAGGATCAAAATGTAGTATATGTAACTGATCCCTAACACTTTGAAGCTGGAACCAGACTGACTAAGAAACCTTCATAATATAAAACAAGAAGGAATTGGGAAAAATCAAGGGAGATGAGCTATTAGGAATCGTGTGCATGTGTGTCTCATCAGTCACCCAGGAAAATATTTTTTTGCTGGCAGGGATGATTCCTGTGTTGCTAGATTGAAAAAAAAGAAAGAGAAAGGGGGAGCTTATGTCCAGACTTTTATAATCCTGAAACAGTGACACCTAATGGACATCTTGGCAGACCAAATGTGAGTAATCTCCACAGATATGACCTTGACAACATATGATATGCAAATGACATTCTGTTGATGGCAGACAGAAAAGAAAACTGAAAAACAAAATAGTAAAGGAAGGCAAAATAAAGGGACTAACTATTAACTGTAAAAAGACAATACATTGTTGTCAGCAAAAGTGACAGCTCAATGTGTAGAACTATGTACTGGTGATGTTGAAATCAAGCAGGGGTAGAGTACTGAGGTCAATGAAAAATGTGATATAGAAATATGAAGTTGTATAGGAAAAGCAAAAGATGCCTTCTTGAAAGCATGCAAAGTATCAAGAGAGAGTCCCTAGAAAAAAGAAAAGAGTGTGTGAACTGTTATGTAATATCTAACTGCCTATATAGCAGGAAGTGTTGGACAATCTTCTTAAAGAAAAAGAGACTTGAAGCAAGATGTGGTTCAGTCAACAAATATCATGAATGGAACATGCAAGTAATGAGGAAGTCTTAAGAAAAATAGGAACAAGGAAACTTATACTTACAACCAAAAAGAGACTGTGTGAAATTTCTGAGATGAGGAAAGACAACTTAGTGAATTTAACACTCACAGGTAAAAGAAGCAGGGAGAAAGAGTAAGTAACTTACTTAATAAGTTTGAGTGAATGAAAGGTAGAGCAAGGACAAAGCAGGATGGCTGAGGCTCCAAGGCTACTTAAAGCAACAAAAAGAAATTGTGGAGAACCATGATTGCCCACCTGCTGTAAAGATATGGCACATAAAAAGAAGAATAATCAAAAAAAAACATGATGACCTAATGAATAGAAGAAAATTTGTCGGACCAATGAAAAGTCTAACGATTGAAACATGGAAGTTTTGATCAAAACAAGAAAAGATTTGAATCCCATTCTCTCATTTATGTTTGAAGACTTTTAAAAAATCAAATTAATTTTCCTCAAGTAACACTATACTAACTCTTGTATATGAATGCATACAAAGCTGCGTCTATAGATTTCAATGTCTTATATGATGTTTCGTTATTACTGTTTTACTTCTAGTCTGTTGTCTCCTGTTGGCATTCCCACATTTCAAAAACAAACGGGAGAAGAATGTTCACCTAAAAGGCCTTGAAAACAGATGAAAAATGTTATCTACTGACAAAATGATTGTGGTCAAGGTGTAGTATCTGTTCAAGCCACAATCCACCCACAGCAGTAGCAGCTCCAGTCGGCCATCAGTGGAAGCAACAATATCTGATGAACAGTTCTTTTTGGGTCAACGCTCTTCATCACACTACAAAACCGTCCTTCTTCGGGTCAACGCTCTTCACCGCACTACAAAACCGTCCTTCCTTGGGTCAACGCTCTTCACCACACTACCAAACCGTCCTTCCTCGGGTCAACGCTCTTCACCGCACTACAAAACCGTCCTTCTTCGGGTCAACGCTCTTCACTGCACTACAAAACCGTCCTTCTTCGGGTCAACGCTCTTCACCGCACTACAAAACCGTCCTTCCTCGGGTCAACGCTCTTCACCGCACTACAAAACTGTCCTTCTTCGGGTCAACGCTCTTCACTGCACTACAAAACTGTCCTTCTTCGGGTCAACGCTCTTCACCGCACTACAAAACCGTCCTTCTTCGGGTCAACGCTCTTCACCGCACTACAAAACCGTCCTTCCTCGGGTCAACGCTCTTCACCGCACTACAAAACTGTCCTTCTTTGGGTCAACGCTCTTCACTGCACTACAAAACTGTCCTTCTTCGGGTCAACGCTCTTCACTGCACTACAAAACTGTCCTTCTTCGGGTCAATGCTCTTCACCGCACTACAAAACTGTCCTTCTTTGGGTCAACGCTCTTCACCGCACTACAAAACTGTCCTTCTTCGGGTCAATGCTCTTCACTGCACTACAAAACTGTCCTTCTTCGTGTCAACGCTCTTCACTGCACTACAAAACCGTCCTTCTTTGGGTCAACGCTCTTCACCGCACTACAAAACCGTCCTTCTTCGGGTCAACGCTCTTCACCGCACTACAAAACCGTCCTTCTTCGGGTCAACGCTCTTCACCGCACTACAAAACCGTCCTTCTTCGGGTCAACGCTCTTCACCGCACTACAAAACCGTCCTTCCTCGGGTCAACACTCTTCACCGCACTACAAAACCGTCCTTCTTCGGGTCAACGCTCTTCTCACAATCCACATGAATACGCAGAGATCTTTCATTTTGTCAACTGTCACCATATTTTGCCAATGTATTTTTCTTTAACATTGCCTTCTATCATTCAATATCTGTTTGCCGGCCAATATACCCCCCCACCCACAACAAGTCCACTCAAGCTGGCAAACATACATTGTTGTATTTATTAGCAAAAAACTTGTCTCTATTAATCACACCTGAAAGACCCCCCCCCTCTTTTCTACCTTCCATCAACATGGCTGATGCTAACCTTCATGAGAATCCATTGCTAGGTGTGCTGCTATGAAAGTTGGTTCACTGTATCATATGAGACAATTTTTCTCTCCTAGATCTGTCTTACATATTTATAAGTTTACTAATCATCAATGATTTGAATATTGTTGCCACATATGGCCCAGTGCTCCTGTTGTATATTTAGAGATTCTTGATAAAATCCAAAGACGAATATGCAATGTCATTGGTCCTGATCTGGCATCTCGCCTTCAGTCACTTTTCCACTACCATAATGTAGCTTCCCTGTACCTTTTCTATAAATTCTTTCATGGAAATTGTTAAGATGAACTCTTCTCTATGATACTTAGATTTTATGAATTCAAGCACAGTAGTAGATTAGTGGCAAGGTCTTATCAAATCATAGTTTAATTGACTAGATGTAACCGTAAGGTCTATGCTAAGAGTTTCTTTTCTCACACTTCTCGGTTGTGGAAATCTCTTCTAGCTCCACGCTATCCAACCAACTTTGATCCTCAAAAATTTAAATGCAATGCCAATCATTATCTACCAACTTTTTGATTACTCTTCTTTAGCATCCAGCGACCATTTTCTTCTTGTAAATGTTGAATTTTGTACATTTTTGTGCAAAAGGTAGATCAGAGAGCCTACTCAGCTTAGTAAATATTTTCAGGAAATATCAGGTTCTAATTGGTCAATAAACACACAAGTGAGTGTTACAATCCACCCACATACAAATATTTTTCCAGCGCGTGACCAAGCCAAGTTTTCCCACCAATTTGCTGTGATCCTGTCATGTGATTACATTATCTATAAATAACAGACACAAGCTTGCTGCTTTCTTTTTTCTCTATTCTTGCTGCAAGATGTAGTCCCAAAAAGATTCTCGTCTCGACCATGGAGAGTCAGACGTTAAAAGCATACTCACACATGCATGTATGTACAAACGTTTCCAAACTACATTACAAACATACAGAACATTTCCAAATAAGCAACATGAACTTTACTCTTTGAAATATTCTTCTAAAACTACAGTTATTCAGCATTTCTCTGCTTTGTAGTTAATTCAACTTTTGTGAGTTCAGATAAAAATATTTACAGTCTAAGGGACATAACACCTGCAGATCTTTAACTTCTACGCATGTACATATATGCAAATAAATACAAATGCTGTTATTAAAACAATTTTGTTCCATCTTGTATTTCATGTTTTATGGTATTTTACGTCAAATATAAATTGTGTGGTCATGTTATTCACGCAGCCATAAACAGACATCTACAAATGGTCCATTCCTATCAACATACCACAACACTTCTATTGTTCTCATTCCTTAATAATGTTTCTTTTTTTCTTTCACACTCAGTTACTCCTTGTGTCTTAGTGGCTTTACTACCTTACATGGGTTAAAATGATTAAAAAAATGTTTTTCTTAGCCTCCAACTCCACTTTGGATGTAACAAATCTGTCAAGTTTTAAAAAGAAAGATGATATGTCAGCATCTTTCTTGCTTCTCCATTCTGTTATAAAGGCATTAATGTTACTTTTTATGAAAATTCAAAGACCGAGTTGAAATGTGGTTTAACTTCTTCAGTTGTCTACCAAACTGAAGATTAGGAAAATATATAAGAAAGTATATTTTTAGTTAATTTAAAAGGCAGTCATTGTAACTTCTTGTCAATGGAAAATGCTAAATTATTGAAATATTATTTGTAAAAAGAAAAAAAAAGAGAAGAAGAGAATACTGAGCTGTTACGTGACATCTGTCCTTCTTTACGGCAGTGAATGTTGGATGATTTCCTCAAAGATGAAGAGACTTGAGGTGACAGAGATGTGGTTCTACAGAAGGATGCTAAGGATATCATGAACCAAGCGCATGAGCAACGATGATGTCTTAGAGAGGATGCAAACAAGCAGGAGGCTTATACTTAACATCAGGAAGAGGAAGTTTCTGGGACACATAATGAGGAAGGGGGGCATGGAGAATCTGATACTCACAGGTCAAACAGAGGGAAAGAGAGACAAGGGAAAACAACACATGACGTACCTGGCAGACTTAAGCAAGTGGATGACAGAACATAGTCTGGGGGAGTAAGCAGAAGAAAGGAACTTGTTGAGAGCTGTAAGGGATAGAGGGAGGTGTGGAGAGCCACGATCGCCTATGTCCTCAAAGGACATGGTATATAAAAAGAAAGAAGATATTTACTAAGTTTAGCTGTTTGAGGGGTTTACGGTCACATCACATTATAACACCAGTTTTCATCTGATCACTGAAGTTAAGTAACACTGAACCTGGTCAGTACTCAGGTGGGTGACCAGTGAGGAATACCATGTGCTATAAGTTATGTGACAGGCTTATCAAGCCAATAATGGATACAATCACACTACTTTTACTAACAGAAGATCTCGATATGTAGGTGTACTTCTGGACTGACATTTGTGCAGTACAAAACAAAATGTGAATAAATTGTTTAAGACCAAATTTACAAGCAAAGTTTTCACTGCTTGAAAATATCAATTTAAAAAAAGGATTGTTTTGCACATGTGTGAATTTTTGTTTTATTAAGGACTCATGAACATTATTAGATGGTTGACTCTTGGATAGAGGAACCTAGCTTGGAGATGTAAGGTCATTTTTTATATACAATTCTCCAACCCTTCCCTGACTGGGTGCTGGAGGCTTCATTTCTCTGATGGGTGTGGAATTTTTGTATTCATTCCTCTGTCTTTTTGAATTTCTTTCATCAGCCTATTACAAATATATGATGGCGGCTAGCCATTTGTCTCCGAAGATGCCTGTCTACTAGTGCAGCTAGCCAATCCCTGTTGTAGATGCCTGCTCAGGCATATTTGTGTTTTTCAACACCCAGAGAGCCAACATGTGGTTTCTATATCCAGCAGACCTTAGTTACAGTTTCTAGGAAAGAGCACATTATCTAGCATAATCAACAATTTGAACAAGTCCAGTACGCTAAAACCCTCAATCACAATGACTTGTGACTTCATGCTAGCACAACCATTGATGGCTCCCAAATAGTTCCATTTAGCCAATTTCACTCCCAAGGCTTGGATCAACCCGTTATGTGGTTTTCTGGCACTTTCCAAAGGGCTACATGATAGGATCATCTCCACAGTCTGATAACATCAAGAAGTCACCTTCCAGATAAATTGAACATGAGTCTCATGGTCAGAAAGTAAACATTCTAACCACTTGGCCATGTTTTTATATATATATATATATATATATATATATATATATATATATATATATGAAAAGATAAAAAGGTTACTTTACAACGCCTTTAATATTTGGTTTCCGTTTTTGTAAAGACAAAATCTGTAAAAAAAAAAGAAAAGAGAAGCTGATTAAATGATTTTATGAAAACATTGATTAGAAACATTTAGAAAATTTCTAGAAATAATCTTGTTGGTGATTAACCCAATAATGCTCCAGCCAATAATACCAGATTTTTTAGAAAGTAATAATGCAAGATTTTACAGACGATATTAACAAATCAACAAAATAGTTTTGTTTGTAAGATATTATCTATTCATTTTTGTTTGGTCTTGAAACAGGCAATGCCATACTGTATCCTTAACCTTTTGAACCCTGACCACTGTTTTACTGGTGGTAGAAAAAAATGACATATGTAATACCTACCTAGTCACCAGTTTAACAGTGGTAGAGAAAAATGACTTAATGCCCAGCCACCTGTTGAATGGTGGGTAAACAGTTGTAACTATTTTTATATCTACCGTCTATCGTGAAACATTACATATCAATTATTTACGAATTTTGACTCAGGAGCTCAGGCAAAAGGGTTAAAATTGTTCAGCAACACAGGGCTCAAAGGGTAAAGGACATATTTTTGTGGCAGAATTTGTATCATATCTATTACATGGTTAAAGTTTACATCGGAATCAAAAGCAACAGCCAGTGTATTTGGCTAATGTATATTTTGATAGACTTTATCAAGGCAATGTAACAAGTATTTATAAATTTATAAAAATGCTAGTTTTTCAAAATTTTTTAATTTAAGAACACACATAAACATACATCAGGCTAACTGAAAAGTCAAGGTAACTTATGGAAGATGCTAAGCGATATAACTTAATGTCTAATAAATGAAAGTTCAAAACCTCCAACTTTGAGAAAAATAGTAGGGTAGTCTGGGCTCTATAGTCATGGTTGGCAATGAAACTAGAAGGACAACTATGAATTCAAATCCAGAGCCAGAGTCCCTAAGACAATCATGTTCAATTTCATTCTAGCAACTCTTGTACCGGTGCAAAGTTGTATTGTCTCCTGCCTTTCTCTTGGACAACATCAGCAATGTAGAGAGGGGAGATGTGCTTCATCGACAACTACTGATCTCTCATAAAAAAAAAAAATCCTGCCCAGGCCTGTGCCTCTTCAGGTGCCAATCCATGGTCTCCCAAGATTGACAGATGCCATACCATACCAAATGAAATGTTGCTGAATTTTTATTTCTTTCTTATAATGTAATTATTATTTATACTATTTTAGTTTGGGATTAATTTATGTATGATATATTTGAAATAATAGAAGGTTTTGAATTTAACCATTTTCTTTTGATTTTTAACATTTTTATAGTCATGTATGTTGGCTTGGGAAAAGAGTAATTCTTTTAGAAAAGGAGATATTTGAAAAAATCTGTACCACAGATTTAGACTTTATTAAGATTTGATGGAAATACTGAAAAATTTTCCATCTAATTTACTTTCTCTTAATAACTGTGGCATTCTTTACATCAAAGTTTGTGGTTGAATTTATTTCTATGTATGCCAACAACAACATTTACTCACATTTGTTTAATAGACATTAAATTATGTCACTTAGCATCTTCCATACCTAGACTTTTCAGGTCACCTGATGAATATTTATGAGCATTCTTAAATGTCAAAATTTTAAGAAAATGACAACATTTTTTAATTTTTGTTTCAAAAATACTTGTGATAAAATACATTTCCTTACAATTCCTACATTTTCCTTCATAAAGTCCACCAGAGGACAAAACGCGTCAACTAAGTTTTATTTTTGTCTTTATTCATATTGTCCTTTTTTTACAGATATATATATATATATATATATATATATATATATATATATATATATATATATATATATATACATCAGGCTAACTGAAAAAGTTAAGGTAAATTATGGGGATGCTATGATCATATATATATATATATATATATATATATATATATATATATAAGTACAGTATTTGTGTATGTGTGTGTCCAAGCAACTCCACCACTCCTACTGGTCCAATTTCAATGATTCATAGCTCATTAGAAACCCCTAGAAAAGTTAGGCTTAGGGAATGATTTTAGTTGAGCTCAGATTCAGGGTTGCCAGATTATGCGAGGTTAAAAATATATATTAATATATTATACTAGCCATTATTGTTGCTTTCATCATTCAAGGGGAGTAAAGTTTCCTTCTGTATCCAAAATTGTGGTGCATGTTTTATTATAAACTAGCTTAAAAGCCACCCTATCAAACGGCATTAAAGCTAGTTACTGTGGAGGAATCTTGGTTTAGCCATCATCACAATAGCTAGGGAGGAGTAGAAGCGATAGGCATCAATAAACTACAGTAGAACTCAAAATTGATCATTGCATTTAAGTATTTAATTAATGTTTAAAGTTACCTTTTAAAAGTTTAATTTTAATTCTTTTGTTGCCACTTAATTTAAAGAGGATTTGATGTACGTAGATCTTTATTTTCCGTACAAACAATTATTTTTATTTCATAGGTGACAGAACAGGGGGACAATTTATAAGATAAAATTAATATAGTGTAAAGATGTGAAAATAGAAATTAGAATTAGTTATACATTCAACATTTGAAGAGTTAGAGAAACATAATAGTTAATTAAGTAAAACCTATATTATGGAATTGATATGAATAAATGTGAAATTGGAGCTCAATTATTCAGCAAAATCTGAGATTAAAAAGCTCCAGCTCTATTTTATAGTAATTTACACAGTATTTACTCGTTCCCCCATGAGAATGAGATGTGACACAAGATCATTTTAATGTGGGGACCCGAGCGCGTACACTAAGGCAGGGACAAAAATTCCCCACAGCCCCCACAACCATCAGTTGCGCTGACCTCGGTGCAAACACTGATCTCTCCCTCTTGTGCAATGTGAGGGCGCGGCCTCAGGCAGCTGTTCCCCTCTTCAGTATAATTTTCTCAGTTGCCCCTCTGTACTTTGACAGAGAAGCCCCTGAGCGCACTCTGTCCAAAGACAGGGACACAACTGAGAGATGATAAGTAATGTGTACAAATTACTTATAGTAATTTACACAGTATTTCAGGTTTAACTAATTTTCATATTAATTTTAAAAAAGTTTATTTCATTAATTAACTGTCCTTCATTACTGTTCTTTTATTCAAGGATTGTTTTGATTTTCATATAAAAAATATTTATGTTTAGGAATATCATCTTACATTGTGCAGAAAAGTGTTTGAAATTTTACTTGGCCTTCAACAAGTTGGCATCTATTTATAAAACTTTCCTTAACTATAACAAGTAAATTTATGAATGAAATGTTCATTTAAAATTTTTGTTTCAAAGATTTCAAGTATGAATATATCTTACTTTGCGAAGCAATAGCGAGTGGCCAAAGCCTGCTAACTTCTAATAAATGAAAGTTCAAAACCTCCAACTTTGAGTAAAATAGTAGGGTAGTCCATTGCAGAGTTCTGTTGCCAGACATAGGGTCTTCCAGCAGCCACCTTCTTGATCCAGGGCAACACTACCTCCTCAAGGCACTTGATGTAGTCTGAGGCATAATGTTGCCATCACGAGTGATCACTCCAAACACTTTCGTAATCTCCATTAGACTCCTCCAATTCTTTCCATATCCTCTGCACTGTCCTCAAATTGACACCCAAACACTCTGAGATATTTGTATTGGAGCTTCCAGCACAAGTGCCAAGCAGTACAACATGGCATTTCCAAATTTCTGGCAGAGTGAATTGCATCATGGTGCTCTTTTTCTTGGATGGTGCCCAACTGACCCTACTATACTGTGCAGTCAACAAAATCAAAAACAAACAACACGCATGTGGGAAATTAAAAATATAAAGTGGCGACAATTTACCCATTGCACCCCATGTGTATCTGTATGTGTATTGCGAGTATATATATATATATATATATATATATATATATATTAGTAAAATATAAGTAAAAATGTTCAAAACTTATTGAAGGTCAGTTCCAAGTTTCATCATTCTTTAATCACTCAAAACACTGAGGAGGATGATTGTATTGATCAGCTTCAATAATGATCAATCATCTTGTCCTGAGGCACAATGAGTACTTAAAAATTTATGAAACTGAGTTGACCTCGATAAATATTGAACATTTTTACTTCTATTTTACTAATAATTATAGCTCTAGTCTTATATTGATCACTTTATTAGCAGAAATTCTGTTATAATTTATATATATATATAGATAATATTAGTGGGAATTTGTAGGTCTGATGAATTGGATCATATTTACGATTCCAATGGAATAAATTATGACCATGGAATATTAGTGTTTAAGCCTTTTTATTATATATATATATATATATATATATATATATAGTTAGTGTATATTTAGGCAGCAATTTTTCATTAATGCGTGTTTCATTAAATAATATAGACAAGTTTTGTCTATTTATTTTCAGTAAGTTCCTTTCATATTGTCTGATAAGCTTAATAACATTATCATTGAAGAACAAAAGGAAATCACCATATTGATACATGTTTAAATCCAATCTAAGCTTTCAGCTTACATAAGCCATTATCAAGGATGACAATTACATTTCAATATATCAACCAATACACAGACGAAACAATAATGATAGTCTGTTTTTTGTTGCATGAAAAATTTTCCAAGCAATGACTAACTCGTGTATACGAGATGCGGAAGCGAAAATCACATTGCAGCTTGTGACATCACACATGACCATGTGAAGGTGAAAATGAGAAGTATTAAGTTTGAGAAGCCGTTGATATAAACCAATGGCTTCTCTTACCAATTATAGGCATTTAAGAATATTTGTGGAGATTTCATAGTTTATTTTGTTCAGGTTAGCTTTCAACTGTTTTATGTATATAGCTTCAAGAATTTTTAGTTTTTGTTTATTGTTTTCATGTTTAAGTATAGTTGTGTTTTCAACAAGGATTTTCCGGAATTGTGTACGCAGCCAGGCATGTTGTTTTAAATACCTAAAAATGTTAGAGTTATCATTCAAATGTAGAGTCAAGTGTCGTGAAAGCGAATTTGTGGTGTGACCAACATAAATATTATTTAATCCATTGTAGATACAATCTCCCAAACGCCACTTGAATTTGTAAACTATGTTGGCTTTTTGCAAATCGCTAATGGGGAGAAGGGGAAGAATCATTGCGAATAATTAAGTTGGATATACTAGATTTAGTGTAGTATATGATTAACCTAATTTTTTGCTACAGACACATACTGGACTCTCCCATCATTTTTGTCATAAGAGGATTTAACAGTTCAGTTTTTAGTACCAACAGCCAGACAACCCACACATATCATTTGATTAAAGTGCTAAAGGCTTGTACAGAATCAACCACACTTTTCGGAAGATCCAAATACAGAGATCTGGTGCATAGTATACCACAAGGTCCCCAAATGCCCTTCCACAAGTTTTGAATTCAGAGTTGTCCTTCTCCTAGACTGTTCGCCACCCAAGGCTATAGGACCCAGTCTGTTCTGTTATTTACCAGGGGTGGGAGAAAAGTTGGATTCATACATTTCCCAAGAGTATTAGGATATAAGGGATCTATGATGAACTCAATTGGAATTCAAATTTGGCTCGCTGATTCTGCAATCCATTACTCCATCATGCCTATATACAGGGTGTCACATAAGTTTCCATACATATGGTTTTTAACATTGTATTTATTTTTTATATTTCAGATACCCTAGAAGATGTGTTTGAATAGGGATATGGAATGACAGAATTATTGGACCATTTTTCTTTGATGAAAATCTTAATCCCAATAAGCATCTTAACATATTGCAAGAAGAGACTTTTTCCATGGTAACTTAACAGATTACTTTCAGTAAGATGGAGCTCCATTTCTTTTTGATATTCATGCACATCAGTGGTTTGATCAGTAGTTTCCAGGTGCTTGGATTGGTCATCGTGGTCTTGTGGAGTGGCCGCCCAGATCACCAGACCTTACCCGATTTGATTTTTACCTTGGGCGGGGGGGGGATATTAAAGGACATGGTGTATTAGGAATAGATACAAAATATAAATCATCTTAAGCAACGTATCACCAACACCATTACAAGCATAACTTCAGCTGTGCTTGAACGTGTTCTTCAGCAGGGAAGGACACGCATTGAACAGGGTTTTCAACAGAATATAGCCTGATGTGCTTTACCAATTTAGCCACAGAGGAGCATTTCAGTTAGAAAGGTCAATGCTCCTCTGTGGCTCAATCGGTAAAAGCACGTCAGGCTATATGACAGTTCCGTATTGGATACAGGTTCGATTCCTGTCAGAGGACGCATATTTTCTATGAAAATTTCTCGACCATTCAGGCTGGTAAATGTTGTTAATACAGTTTATTATAAATTGAGCATTTACTTAAATATTTGTATCTATAAAAAGAATGTATAAACATAAAAAATGTCTTAAAATACATACATACATACATACATACATACATATATATATATATATATATATATTAGTTGCATGAATAGTAGTTTGTAACTACAGGTTAACCACATATGTTAGCTCTGTCACAGATATTGAGCACTTTCTACTAAATACCACTCATATATATATATATATATGTGAATATACATAATATCTAATGTTGATAACACAACTTGGAGTTTCATGCAATTAATGCAATCTTCAACTGTGAAGATTATGTATATTCACTAATACATTCTTATAGCTCTGTTTCATAACATTGAGCACTGTATTTATAACACCTGAGGAATAAATATAGAACTTATGTATGTGCATGTATTTATGCTTGTATGTACTACATTTTTTATTCTACTTATTCATATATATATATATATATATATATAAAGTGAACATTGAAGTCAACAGTCAGAGGCGACAGGTTGTTTCATGCTAGATGCAATCATCAGGCCGCCTGACGATTGTGTTTAGTATGAAACAGCCTGTCGCCTCTGACTGTTGACTTCAATGTTCACATTTATATTTACATATGCTCTATCTCTGATATTGAGCACTTTATCCAATAAATATAGCACACCTTAAAACTATTTTTCTTTATATATATATATATATATATATATATATATATACACACACACACACACACATACATACACACACACACATCTGTATATTTGTTTACAATATTTGTTATATTTATAGAAGATGAGGTGAGATCAATATTAGAGATGGAGATTGAATGTTTGTAGACATAGAAATCAACACTGCATGGTGAATATCAGTTTCACACCTCAATGCAATCATCCAACTTGGTTTGAAGATTGCAGTGAGGTATAAAACTGACAGTTACCATACAGTGTTGATGCAAAAATACTGAACGCATAAAATTTGTGCATAGACAAAAAATTCCTTCTTTCTATTTAACTATTTAATACAGTAAGTATTCAAGACACCTGCCCCAGAAGATCAAGAAATCTAATCTTCTGTTCAGGAATGTCTACTGAGATAAGATATGTGGAAGCCTCTGATACTTGTGCAATGTATGCAGATCATCAATCAACAGAGTCACAAATTGTGACGGCAGTGTTGGGAAGGCCATGGCAACAAGCTGAAGTTGACCTACTATTATGGGATGGAACAGAGTATCTGGTCATGATAGATACAAACAGCCATTTTTTTGAGGTTTTTTGTGTGAGCTAAACACACCTACATCAGAAATAGTGATTCAGTTTTTGAAGAGTGACTTTGTATGGCATGAAATACTGAGACATATTCATCTTTGACAATATGTTCAAGCGCTTTGCAAATAAGTACTCAAGACAATTTTCACTTTGAAGCAGCAAAGCCAATGGAACAGCAAAAGCAGCAATCAAAATTGTCAAATGCCTATTGCAAAAATGCAAGACATCTGGAGAGGACCCATTTATAAGCTTGCTGAATCTTCATAACTTGCCAAAATGAAAGGCTAAACACTAGGCCAACACAAAAACTCTTTGGCAGGTGTACAAAGTCAATGATTCCAAAATAAAAAAATAAAAAAAATTGACAATTTAAATGAAAATTTAAATACTCTCATCAATTTAAATTTTAAATTCTCTGAGGACTTAATCATTAAACACAAAGAATTTCTTGAAATTTTATAAAGTTGGGAGGGTGTAACAGATGTAAAAGAAAAAAATTTACTAAGATTTTGTAAAAAAGAAACTCTTTAAAAATAATTTCATTCATTTGTGAATAAGTCATGAAAGTTTCATTAAAACCCGACAATTATCTGATTTTTTGCAAAAATTTCCAAATCAATGTGTTTTTTACCTCAAAAAAATGCTCAGATTTATTTACACATACAAAAATTTATGGTCCCAAGTTGACACAGAAAATAAGATTTTTGACTAAATTTTGAAGGTTCAAACAGAGAGTTACTGCTAACAGCTCATCTCAGAGGAGCTTGTCCATTTGTCCTGCTCTTAGCTTCCCCCCACTCCCCAATGAATGAAGCAGTTGAGGGGCTGATGATGATAAAAGCCATTGGTCTTTCCACTTAATAACAAAGATTTTGAGAGGTATTTTTTTCATTATAGATGCTCATTTTTAGTGAATCTTTGGAAGGACATATTCAAAGTCAAAAGTCAAAATAAAAAGTAGCATAAAAAATAAAATTATTCATCCTACCATTTCAAAAAAGAGTATAGAAAAATATTCTTAAAGTGGTTGGAAGAAAGATGTTTTCTTTTTAAACAAGGATACCAATTTCTTGATTATTGCACTGCTGGTGTTTTTCGGGCTTTTGCCGGTACTTAGGTACTGTCATGCACTTTTGATGAAAATTGATACCTGACTAAAAAACGCACCAAATTTCTATAAAATGTTATCTTTATCTCAATAAACTTTATTTCGTTAGGAAGAAGAACTGGAAAAATTAGCATATAAAAAATAAAAATTATAAAAAAAAATCCAAAGAAATTTTGGTTTTAAAATTTGTTTATAATACTGTGTACAAATGTACAAAATTTAATAAATTTGCATTGGAAAATTTTATGCAAAAAATATTTAGTTTTTAAAATTTTCAAAAATTAGGTGATTATTGGATTTTAATGAAAATTTAAAAATTACTTACTTCATTTTTTCAAAGTTAAAATAAAAATAAATTTTATGGAATGATTTTATTTTTATGTCATTTTATCTCAACTATTTTTACTTTTACAAAAACCATGAAAATGAACGGGAATATTACTTGACATAATTCCCTGGATAATATTGCTGATAGCTCCTGACGAGTGGACCGAACGATTACAAAAAGATGTTCGTCTACGAAATTCTGGAGTCGCGGTGCTAAATCAGCTAAGTGACAAATTTTATTTGTTAATCCTAAAATAATATAAAATTAAACTTTCTACCAAGGATACTTTAAATTTATAATATTTTTTTTTAAGTACTGTAAACAAATACAAAATAAGCTATTTAAATACCTCAAATTAACTTGAACAGTTAGTCAGAAAAAGATGAAAATACCAATACATCTCAATTTGGCCGGACCTGTGCTTGTGTAGGAGTTAAAGAAACTATCTATCAATATTCGTTGTGTGTGAATCTTTTTTTAAGCTAAAGAAAAGAACTTGTTGATCCATCATCAAAAATATAATAAAAAATTGAAAAATGTTCTTGGGAATTTTGGTAAGCGTAGGAAACTTCAGCTCTCTTTTTCCAACTGTCCATATTTCTCGACATAATTAAAAAAAAACAAAAAAAAACATTAAAAATAAAAACTAGTTTTTTACTTTTTTGATAACCCACTTACCCCGTTTATTGCACCTCGAGCCTTGAATGCTCCGGTTTTTTGAAAATTTTCTGCCTTAAAATACACACTCAAGCCGGTCAGTTTGTCAGCAGTGGTGCTGGTCAAAACTGGAGTTCGATGGATGTAGGGTGCAATCCGTTCGTGTACACGTAAAATCTGCCGGAGCGTTGGTTCCATCCTTTTCGTACTTGACAGGTTGACAGGCAAATGTCAACCGCGAACGAAGAAAGAAGAGTTTGTACCTCGTCATTAAGAGTTCACGCACTGGAAAGGCGTACACACTTACTTACACATACACACATGTAGTAACTTTTTTAAAAAGAAAAGTTACGAATGTAACGGTAAATCACTCTGTTATGTTCCCCAAGAAAACATGGCAATTCACAAAAAAATAAATAAATAAAGGAAAGGAATCTGTGGAGAGTTTCGATCACCTAAGATCTGAAGAGACATGACATTAAAAATTACTTAATATTTATCCTCGCGTTTTTTTCCCCGCTGGACATCTTCGCAAGAAACGAAAATTAGAGTTACTCCCCTTGTAATCAATTTCAAGGAGAAAAATACGATTTTTGAATGTAGTTGCCACTAAATTAGGGGGTGCTTTCCCCCCCCCCCCCCGAAATGTAAACAAGAAATCTTTACCCCTTCTTTTAAAATATTAGCCTAAAATCAGGGAATTATCCCATTCAAATGAAATTCTCAGTACGCATTCATTATATAATGAATTGTAGAATGAATATGTTATTTTATTAGAAAACTTTGAAAATAATTTTTTGTGGGTCTGTTTCTAACTTTCAAGCCCCCTCTTTTCGATTATCTCATGGATACCTTTTTATTTTGGGTGAAGGGCGTCAATGTTCTTTGCATTTTACAGTTATATAAAGAAAAAAAACCTTTATGATGTTATTTAAAAGATGTTATTTCAGTAAAAAAAAAATTAAAATTAAAAAAAATGCAATCAAGTGTGGACATATGGAAAAAATACGTCCCGAATCCGATCAAAAATAATTCAATGAAAAAATTCATTTCTTTATTTTTCTGACAGCTGAGGCTTTCATAGTTTCATTTAAAACACATTCTTTACTTTCAGATTAAACAGAAAAAAAATCTACACATATTTCTAAGAGAATTACTTATTTTTCAGTGCGATTTTGAAATTCATCCCATTGCTGTTCGTAAAGAATTGTTGTTTTTTTTTTAATTAAAGACAGAAATTATGATTGATGAATCAAAAAATAGATGTAAAATTGTCATTTTCGAGTGTGAACCGTTTTTAAAAGAAATTTTTCCCCATTTTAGTAACTGTTAGATTATTTTTTGGTATGGATGTTCAAAAAGTAAATAATTCTATTAAATTACGATTCTGCTGCTAAAAAATGTCAGAAAAGAATTGACAGATTGGTTCAAGCTGATAAAAAGGGAACAATAGCATTCCTGTAAGAAGAAATAGAATATACAAATCATAAAACACACATCACACATTACATACATATCTATATCTATACACACACACACACACACACACACACACACACACACACACACACACACACACACACACACACACAATTGCTGATACCCCCTGAAGAGTGAAACGGACGGCTCCATCTACGAAACCGTAGAGTCGGGATGCTGAAGGTAACATTAATCAGCTAAGTGACAAACTTTTAATTATTAGTTCTATATACTTACTATAAAAAATAATCAAAAATGGGAGTCAAAGACTGAACAATTACAAAAATGTTTGTTCACGAAACTGACGTTGAGGTGCTGCATAGAACATCAATCAGCTAAGTGACAAATTTTATTTGTATTAATAATCCTATATTGTGGAGTTACCCCACTTACTTTCATAACAAAAAAACGTCACTAGAGGATGCTTTCTAAACCTATAAATACACTGCAATATTTTCTATCATTCTCTTTCTCCTATTTCACCCAGGGATTTAGGTTAAACGCGGAGAATAGCGCGCACACGCGCCAGCTCTTTTTCCTTTTTCACTCAGGGATGATAAGATGTAGGTCAAACTAGGAAAACGCTTTCCCTGCTGGGGAATGCACACACAAATGCACACACACGTGTACGTACACATCTTCATTTTACTGTTTCATTTTTTCTCGGATTCGTATACATATTTTACATACACAAACAATTCACTAGTCTTTAAATATTTTCATGCCTGTTAATATCACTGTCCTTGTCGCTCACAACATGGTAAATGTTGTCTTGTTAATAATACATTATCGTTTGCTTGTGTAGATATATATTCGTTTTAGTTATTTTGTATTTTAATACCTGAACACACATGCAAGTCTGCCATTTTTGTTGTAGGATAAATATATCAGGAGACACATATTTCCCAACTCAAACACCTATGTACATACTACCCGCAACAATATATATATATATATATATATATATATATATAGTTAAACCTAGTGAGCCAGACAAATTTACCCAGGTTTCACCTAAGCGGATCGTCAGGGAAAGCTGGCTCTACGGTTGTATTGAGCTCTTTTTAGTTAGTTGTTTACTCGTGTCGGGGTTTTTTCCTTGGGCTTTGAACCTGTATCTGTGCGATTGTTTTCGACAGACTTTCATGTTCCTAGCTCTTTCTTTTTTTAAAACCTTTTTTTCCTTCGAGATTGATTTGATTATTGGCAAATCAAAAATTCGAAGGTTTTTCGAGACGAGTATAGTTACCTATATATATATATATATATATATATATATATATATATATATATATAGTTTACCCTGAAGCTCCATTTAGGTGAAACCTAGGTAGGTAGTTCCTTGCTCTTTAGGATTTTCTTTTTTATTTTCTGCTCTATTTAGCGTATTGAGCACTTTACGTTTTATCTTATTTACTCATTTGGATTTGGGGTGGGGAGCTGGAAATTAAGACACTGGACGATTTTTTCGCCCTGCTCGGGTGTTTCTAATTCTTCATTTTTTTTCCAGATACTAATTTGTTTCTACATTTTTTATTTGCGAATTGCGTCTTCCAGGTTTTTTCGCCGACCGAGTATAGTTACTAATATACTAATTTTAGCTCTAGTTTACTCTATTGAGCACTCTATAAGTCACACGTTATGGAACAAGTAAATATTGGTTATTCGTTTAAAAAGCATCCCATTACCTGTTAAACATCTATACCAAATAACGATGTTAAAAAAGATAGAATCTTTCATCTTCCAGCATGAGATGGAAAGCTTATCTTTTCCTTAATAATAACCAGTATATATATATATATATATATTATCAACACTAAAGTAATCAATTTTCTAGATTTGAAACATTTGACTTGATTAAGGGCATGTACAAATCATACACTAAGGATTCATACAACCACAAGGACATCGGCAGAAGATCCCACCACCATAAAAGGATACTTGACAATTTGCACAAATCAGTACAATATAGGTTATCGACCAACTCCAGTAACAAAGAAATATTCAATGATAATATAGCTAGATAACAAAGCGCTAGAAAGCAGCAGCCATGATGTGAAATTGGAGTATGTAAAAAGAAATAGCAACAAAGATAAAAATAAGATAAAACCACACAAACGTAACATAATATGGTAATGTTAAAACTAATGTTGGTAGAATTTTCCTGAATTTAATTCACAAACACTTTGGTTAATCTCTAACACTAAAAAAGATTTTCAACAAAAATAACATTAACGTAATCTATAGCTATACAAAAAACATAAATATTTACATATTCCAATACAACAATGTATTAAGCAAGCTTCCAAACAAAACACTAAAAAATAATCCTACTAAAAGACACTGCAGCTGCTATAAAAACGTAACCTGTCCATTAAATGGCCAATGCATGATTGAAGGCACAATATTCAGAGCTAGGATCAATTCATATGATGATGTTAAATATTACTTTGGATCCACCAAGAACAGCTGGAAATTGCGTTTTTACCACCACAAAATGACACTGAGCAGTATCAAATACAAAAACTACACAACACTTTCAAAGTATATTTGGCAATTAAAAAACAACCATAAGACCTCAACCATTAGCTGGGAGATAATCGCGAAAGCTAAGCAATACAATGGAAAGGGTGACAGATGTAACTTGTGTTTGTTGGAGAAGCTTATTATACTAAAACACTTAAATAACCCTTACTTGCAACACAACTCTTGACCACAAGATCTGAATTGATGTCTACATGTATCCATAAGTCCAAGCACCGCTCATTGACCCTGATAAAAAAATAGACTTTATGAATATTAATATAATATGAAGCAACTATTAATATGCTTAGAACCGATCATTAATAACATTTTTATATGTCTATATATATATAATCCAATATTACTGTACTCGATTAATTTATAACGTGTGTTTATATAATTTCACCTTTATAAGGCTTGGTTTCAAACACATTACATATATAGTCCTGGCCTATTATTTTTATTTGCATCCTTATATTTACACCCTAGTTTAATTTAATTGGTATAACGACGTTAATTTATGCAAAAAAGAGAGTTACCCCCTTGATATCTTGTTTACTTTTAAATTTAAATAATTTTTTTAATTCTTCGCCTTTCGAACTTAATAATTTGAATGATATAAATTATTAATAATTAATTCTAATATTTTAAGCAACAATAATTAAATAAACAAATTTTAACACACAATTTTGAATCATCACCACAAGAACCCGAACTCCATAATGATCAGAATATGTTCCACACCTGAAGATTGCAAGAACTGCATGAAACCCCGAGTCATGCTATCGACGTTGGATATTATGTATATTCATTAATATATACTTATAGCTCTGTCAAATGACATTGTGCACTGTATTTATAACACCTGAGGAAGGAATATATCTATACATATGTGCAAGTATATGTGTAACAGAGAGAGGTATATACATATACACCAACATGAACGCACACACGCAAATATAACTTTTATTGACTGGAAGCGGAAATGGTGTTTATATATCAAAGTACAATTTGGGTTAAGATGTGTGTTTACCGATGAGAAACACGATCTCAGGGCAGGAGGCAATGTTTTAAACCTGGGTCACTAGTAAATAATGGGGATGGGCGAGATACTTGTTTTGTTTAACAGTATTTGCTTTAAAAGGTTATATGTAGTTTTTATTTCTTTTTGTAAAAGTACTAGAAGCTTATTGTCG